ATGTGGTAGATAAACATGTGCTTCTTTCCTGTCTTTAGATAGTGAAATAGCAGCGAATTTTTTAAGGTGGAGTGCATAGGTATTGAGATGAAAGTAAAAGGATTGAAGAGTTTGAGGTCCTTTAAGAAGAGGAAGTTTATAATGTAGTAAATATTTGTTGTAGCATGCATCCAAGTCATAGGAGTCTAAAGATGTTGATGATAATTTGGACAAATAGTCTTCTGCAGAGGCGTTCGCCGTTTTAAGCCTGGTTCTCACAGTCACAAAGAGTGCCATAGTCTGTCCTGTGCGTTGAGTTTGACCGTTTTTATCATGGTTCTCCGCGTAAATGGACTTATCCACCTGTCTACTTACATCATTCTCTTTTAGAAATGGCCCACAGTCTGTAAAGGATATTGTTATTCTAAAAGCAGTGGCTGCATTCATAGTATCTGTAGAAGAATTTACTGAAAAGGACTATATATATCAGCTGATTTTGATCATCAAATTTTTATACATATTATATATTTAAAAATATACGTCAGTCATTTGACTATAATTATACTACATATTATTATACATATACTGTATTACAAATAAATACTATAAATAAATATTATATATATATAATTTTTTTAACGAAATTTGTTTTTTTATACAATTATGACGCAATATCAAGAAACTGATACATTTCCACAAAATCCTATTATAAAAGCTCAAACTAAAACAAATAGTTTTAGTTATGAAATTATACAAGAAGGTTATTATCCTTTATCACCTATATTAGTATATACATTTCCTCCTAATAAATATAAAATACCTGATAAATATATCGTAAAAACAATTTTCGGCAAGAGATCTAATCAACAAATAATTAAATGTTCAATTAATTATATAAATAACAAGCCTTTATATCATATTGAATTTGAAGATCAAGTTGTTGAATCAAAAAAATCCACCAGTGAAGCAGCTAATTTGTATAAAGACATATTAAACAAAATAGCTAAATTAAAAAATCTGATTAAATTATGTAGTTCTACTCGATTTAATGGAATAGAAATTTTTGGATTACAATTACAAAATATTAAAAAGATTCGAGAAAATAAACATAGAAAACATAATTTAAAACCTTTTAATCAATTAGCAAATTCATCTCAAAAAATACGTGGACAAAAATTTGGAAATATGATTAAAGATTTTGCGGATCAAAATTCAAAAAAATTATTTAATTCAGAAGATAATGTTTTATTAAAGCAAGTTTTATTTAGTGTTAATAATAAACAATATATTATTAATTATGGAATATTAGATAAATATACAGAGGAGCTTTGAGCGAAATCAATAATTTATGCTATAGATCGCCATAAAATTACACGAGAAGCTCTATAATCATTAACTGGAATTGAACATCATTTACCTAAAGAATGGTTAATATCAGAAATGCGAGCTAAAATTACAGCTGAAATGTCTCAAGCAATTAAAGTTTATACATTTAATTTTGAAGAATTAATAGATAATGAAAGTTTTTATGAAAAAGAAAATTATAAAATAGAAAAAGAAATCTATCGATCACTAAAAGATATACTTAACTATACAATACCGGCATGGTTAGAAAATGGAGGCTTAAGTATTCAAGACCCTGTTTTAAGAATTCGACTTTCTGGTGATGGGCGTAATGTAGGAAGAAAAATTAAACATGTTATGGTAACATTTACACTTTTAAACAATTCATTAAGGGTAGGATGTACAAATTTCTAATTTCATATAAAATAGATTGTAGATCAACTTTGTGTAACTAATTTATATGATATCATATAATTTACATATAAACATCATATGATTTGACCAATCAGAATTAGCAATTTTTTGTACTACCTAAGAAAAACATATAGCGACCTAGGAAAATTTAATTATATGTGAAGTTGATTTTTTTTAAAACAACACATATCCCGAAACTTCACTAGTATAAACAAACTAGTTTATACTACATACCATTTAAATTTGATAAAAATTAACTGAGATGTCAAAAAGATTTATTAGAAGCATTTTTTTATTTACTATGTAAAAATTCAATATACTATGCAGATCATATGAAAAATGATCTACGTACACCCTACCCTTAAATTATTATGAACCCGATTATTATTATACTTTAATACTTTATCCGAGTATTGAAAGTTATAAAACATTAAAATTAGCAACAAAATTATTGATAAAAGATCTTAATGATATTAAAACCAGGTTTATAGATTATCAAGGAAGAAAATGGAATATAGAACTTTATTTAAGTGCTGATTGAAAATTTATGGCGATGTGTTTAGGCCACAAAGCAGCTAATTGTGATGCTTTTTGTCTATGGTGTAACTGCAAAAAAAATACAATTGGCTATATAAATCTGGAAAATGGCGATTGGTATATTTCAAAGAATATAGAAAACATTGCTAATAACTATGCTACAACTCCAGGATATAATAATAAACTACTTTTTTCAATGATTCCAATGAAGAATTAGGTAGCTGATGAGCTTCACATTATACTACGTATTACAGATAAATTGTGGGATTTATTAATTGCTGAATTAAAGACAAGTAATAGATTTGATAATGATATACGAAAAAAAATTATGGATGAAATAAAAAATATTGGAGTTAAATTTCATTACTGGTAAGAAAACTCAAACTGGAATTTGACTCCGCTTATGGGTGAAGACAAGCTTATTGTATTGAAAAATTTTGATCTTGAAACAATTTTTTCTGAAGAAAGAGCCAATTTAATTCGAAATTTATGGAGCAATTTCTATGAATTATATGAAAGTCTTAAAAACTCTAATGTATCAGGTGATATTTTTAAACAAAAGGCTAAAACATGGTTGCAATTATTTTTAACCCCTTCAACTGGACAATATAATACACATACCTTTAAAAAAGGGTTATACCAACCAGCAGATGTTACGCTATACATTCACGTTTTAGTTTTTCATGTACCAGAATTCTTAAATGAACATCACCAATTTGGAATGGCAGCATTCTCTTGTTCTGGGGTTGAAAAAAAAAAACATCAGCATGTATGCCAGTTTTTTCAAAAAACTTTTAAGAATGGTGGATCTAAAGATGTTAGAAAATCAGCAATTATGGAAATTATGGATCTTGAACAACGTGCTTTATATTTTTATAGAAATAATGTTCCTACTTTTTTTGAAAAAAACAAAAAATTTACGATTAAATAGTTTTAATCCTTATAGAATTTATTTTGCTATAAATATTCTAAGATGTACTCTAAAAATATTTTATCAATCGATTAAATGTTTAATGCATTAATTAGGCTTTAGAAATCTTTTAGTTATTATATATCAGTTTAAAATTTTTCAAGTGAAAAATTTAATTTATTATGATAGCAATTAATTAAACACGGCATATTCAAAGGTAGGTCTTTCTAGTTGAACTTATTGTAATTTATAATATTCTAACTTCACATTATTAATAGTATCTCATAATTATTAACATAGTGGAATCCCTTTATCAATCTTCGATTTATCCTTGTAATATTATTAATTTAGTTAATGAACGTGTAAATTCTAACAATTTAAGGTTTGTTATATTTTAACTATTTTAATTTTTTTTTTTTATTCATGCCAGTTATATATACTAACTATGAACTTATAAATAGTTTGAATAGTATTTTTGTAACTTTAAATTACTAAATTTAACACATTTAAGTGAGTAGCGAATTTTAATATAAATAAGGCATTTATTGATTATCTAAAATTAATGGCATGAGTGATCGGAAAAGATGAAATTGGAGTAAGAATGAATTAAGGTGTAAAAAATTAGCAGATGGGAATAATTTGGATGAAACATTGTGGAATTGGATTATGAAGGATGTAAATATGCATTTATCTTTCGTTATTAAAAATTGGTAGATGTGGATTATTTGAACAGAATGGAAGTGTTGTTAAGAATAATAAAAATAAGGCATTCATTATAGAGAAAATCAGCAGGTGCGAATTATCAAAGCAGAATTGATTTGGATTTAAGAGTAAAAAGTAGCGCATTCATTTATTATTAATAATTAGCCAATATGAATGAATGATCCGAATGAACCATTTTAACTTGGTTATTATTACGAATGGAATTGGATGTATTAATAGTAAATATGGCATTATCTTTATTATCAAAATTGGCAGGTATGAACGATCTAGACGAAATGAAATTGAAGTTAAGAAGGATGAAAATAAGACATTCATTTATATCAAAACTCAGCAGATACGAATCAGCAAGAGGAATGGAATTGGAGTAAAGAATAAAAGTAAGCGTTTATTTATTATTAATAATTAGTAGGTATAATAAATGAACCAATTGTGATTGTTAACAGATAAGAATGATCCAGGCGGAACATTTTAGCTTGACTATTGTTAATGGTTTATGAAGGATATGGCTAACCACAATCACAAAATAACATTTTAGCAATCTCTCCTTCATCATGACCTTCAATAATTTTTTTTGTCTCATTTGTTATTTGGGCCGGATCCATTTGTTTTTTAGTTCTTTGAGCAGGTATATAAAATATGGAATTTATTTTTATTATCAAAAATTAGTAGATGTGAACTATCTGAACAGAATGAAAATGGAGTTAAGAAGGATGAAATGAGGCATTCATTATAGTAAAATAAGCAGGTACGAATAATCAAGACGTAATGGATTTGGAGTTAAGGATAACAAGTAAGGCATTCACTTGCTATCAGTAATTAGCAGGTATCTGGTCAGAATTATGAGTAAGTGAAAATGATTTAGACAGAACATTTTAGCTTGGCTACTATTACGAATAAACCAGATTTATGAAGGATGTAAATTGGCATCTATCAAAAATTGGCAGATGTGAATAATCTAAACGATCTAAACGAAATATTAATTGGAGTTAAGAGGGATGAAAATGAGACATTCATTATATCAAAACTCATCAGGTACAAATGATCAAAACGGAACGGAATTGGAGTTGAGAAGGATAAAAGTAAATATTCATTATTATTAATAGGTATGAATGAATAAACCGGTCAGAATTGTTAAAAGATAAGAATGATCCAGGCGAATATTTTGGCTTTACTATTGTTATAAATAAAATTGAATTATGAAGGATATAAATATGTCATTTATTTTTATTATCAAATTTTGTAGATGTGAACTATCTGAACAGAATGAAAGTGGAGCTAGGAAGGATGGAAATAAGGTATTCATTATAGCAAAAATAAGCAGGTACGAATGATCATAACAGTATGGATTTAGAGTCAAGGATAAAAAGTAAGGCATTTATTTATTATCAATAATTAGCAGGTATGAATGAATGATCAGTCGGAATTATGATCAGGTGTGAATGATCTAAATTATATAAATGAAATATGAATTGGAGTAAATGAAACATGCATTTATATCAAATTCAGCAGATATGAATGATCAAGACGAGTTAGAATAAAAGGTGTTCATTTATTATTAATAATTAGCAGATATAAATAAATGATCCGGTAATGATGGATTTATGAAGAATATAAATATAGTACTTATATTTATTATCAAAAAATTGGCAGATGTGAACTATCTGTATGGAATGAAAGTGGAGTTAAGAAAGATAAAAATGAGGCATTCATTTTAACAAAAATCAACAGGTACGAATGACTAAGATGGAATAGATTTGGAGTTAAGGATAAAAAGTAGTGCATTTATTTATTATCAATAATTAGCAGATATGAATGAATTCAGTCAGAATTATGAACAGATGAGGATGATCTAGACGAAACATTTTGACTTGGCTTTTGTTCGAATGGAATTGGATTTATGAAGAGTAAATATGGTATATTCTTACTACTAAAATTTGGTGGACTGAGAGTTCTACGATTGTCAGTAAATCTTAACTCATACTAATATTACCTTCTTTACTTAGCTTCACTCTAAGCTCAATGGCTACTATCGAGGTCTTTGGAGTAGCACTCTCTCTAGGGTTACCTATTGGCAGTGCCTTCCCTTTATCTGTGCTTACTTGATTAGTATCAGTGCACTTACTGCTCACTGTAGACTGTTACCGGGCTGATTTATCCTTGTAAACGATACGAATTGGAATTAAGAAGGATGAATAGAAGGATGAATTGAAGGATTCATTTATATCAAAAATCAGCAATACGAATGGCCAAGATGGAATGAAATTAGAGTTAAATGATCTGGTTGGAATTATTAACAGGTAAGAGTAATCCGGGTGGAGCATTTTGGTTTGGCTATCATTATGAATTTATAAAGGATATAAATATAGCATTTATCTTTTATTATCAAAAATTGACAGGCGCAAATGCTTTAAACAAAACAGAATTGAAGTTAAAAAGGATAAAAATAAGGCATTTATTATAGCAAAATCAGCGGGTACGAATAGAGATAAAAATATGTATTTATTTATTTTCTGTAATAGATATTTGCAGAAATAAAATTTTTATTATTATCTATATAGCATTATTGCATAATTAACTTTAGTCAAGTTGTATGATTTATTGTATTATTCTGAATATATAGTTTAGTTAAACGTTTATAAAAAAACAACTTTAATGAAGTGATTTTTGAATTATTTGAAAATTATATTTATTAAAATTAACATTAAATTTTGATTTATTTACTTATTTATTTATTTAAAATCTTTATTTTTAAATGCAAAAAAAAAATACATTAAAAACAATTTTTAACCAAAATAAATTTGTTCTATAAAAAAATGCATTGTAATATATCCCATCGTAGATATTTGATTTGTAGCATCTTTAATTATACATTGTTTCCATTCTATACATAGCTCAATTTGTTGAAATTTTTGGTAACTATCTTACAAGATATTCTCCAAGTCGAAAGTGGTATCAGTGTATATTTAAGGAAGAGAATGTAGTAGAACTTGTTGGTCAAATACTAGAAAGAACAAATTGGAGTGTACAAAGTTACTTATATAGACAACAAACAAACATTATCCTTATTTCATCAGATAGTACTATTAATGAAATAAAAAAGGATAAATGTAAAAAACAAAAACAAATTGAGCTATGTATAGAATGGAAACAATGTATAATTAAAGATGCTACAAATCAAATATCTACGATGGGATATATTACAATGCATTTTTTTATAGAACAAATTTATTTTGGTTAAAAATTGTTTTTAATGTATTTTTTTTTTGCATTTAAAAATAAAGATTTTAAATAAATAAATAAGTAAATAAATCAAAATTTAATGTTAATTTTAATAAATATAATTTTCAAATAATTCAAAAATCACTTCATTAAAGTTGTTTTTTTATAAACGTTTAACTAAACTATATATTCAGAATAATACAATAAATCATACAACTTGACTAAAGTTAATTATGCAATAATGCTATATAGATAATAATAAAAATTTTATTTCTGCAAATATCTATTACAGAAAATAAATAAATACATATTTTTATCTCTATTCGTACCCGCTGATTTTGCTATAATAAATGCCTTATTTTTATCCTTTTTAACTTCAATTCTGTTTTGTTTAAAGCATTTGCGCCTGTCAATTTTTGATAATAAAAGATAAATGCTATATTTATATCCTTTATAAATTCATAATGATAGCCAAACCAAAATGCTCCACCCGGATTACTCTTACCTGTTAATAATTCCAACCAGATCATTTAACTCTAATTTCATTCCATCTTGGCCATTCGTATTGCTGATTTTTGATATAAATGAATCCTTCAATTCATCCTTCTATTCATCCTTCTTAATTCCAATTCGTATCGTTTACAAGGATAAATCAGCCCGGTAACAGTCTACAGTGAGCAGTAAGTGCACTGATACTAATCAAGTAAGCACAGATAAAGGGAAGGCACTGCCAATAGGTAACCCTAGAGAGAGTGCTACTCCAAAGACCTCGATAGTAGCCATTGAGCTTAGAGTGAAGCTAAGTAAAGAAGGTAATATTAGTATGAGTTAAGATTTACTGACAATCGTAGAACTCTCAGTCCACCAAATTTTAGTAGTAAGAATATACCATATTTACTCTTCATAAATCCAATTCCATTCGAACAAAAGCCAAGTCAAAATGTTTCGTCTAGATCATCCTCATCTGTTCATAATTCTGACTGAATTCATTCATATCTGCTAATTATTGATAATAAATAAATGCACTACTTTTTATCCTTAACTCCAAATCTATTCCATCTTAGTCATTCGTACCTGTTGATTTTTGTTAAAATGAATGCCTCATTTTTATCTTTCTTAACTCCACTTTCATTCCATACAGATAGTTCACATCTGCCAATTTTTTGATAATAAATATAAGTACTATATTTATATTCTTCATAAATCCATCATTACCGGATCATTTATTTATATCTGCTAATTATTAATAATAAATGAACACCTTTTATTCTAACTCGTCTTGATCATTCATATCTGCTGAATTTGATATAAATGCATGTTTCATTTACTCCAATTCATATTTCATTTATATAATTTAGATCATTCACACCTGATCATAATTCCGACTGATCATTCATTCATACCTGCTAATTATTGATAATAAATAAATGCCTTACTTTTTATCCTTGACTCTAAATCCATACTGTTATGATCATTCGTACCTGCTTATTTTTGCTATAATGAATACCTTATTTCCATCCTTCCTAGCTCCACTTTCATTCTGTTCAGATAGTTCACATCTACAAAATTTGATAATAAAAATAAATGACATATTTATATCCTTCATAATTCAATTTTATTTATAACAATAGTAAAGCCAAAATATTCGCCTGGATCATTCTTATCTTTTAACAATTCTGACCGGTTTATTCATTCATACCTATTAATAATAATGAATATTTACTTTTATCCTTCTCAACTCCAATTCCGTTCCGTTTTGATCATTTGTACCTGATGAGTTTTGATATAATGAATGTCTCATTTTCATCCCTCTTAACTCCAATTAATATTTCGTTTAGATCGTTTAGATTATTCACATCTGCCAATTTTTGATAGATGCCAATTTACATCCTTCATAAATCTGGTTTATTCGTAATAGTAGCCAAGCTAAAATGTTCTGTCTAAATCATTTTCACTTACTCATAATTCTGACCAGATACCTGCTAATTACTGATAGCAAGTGAATGCCTTACTTGTTATCCTTAACTCCAAATCCATTACGTCTTGATTATTCGTACCTGCTTATTTTACTATAATGAATGCCTCATTTCATCCTTCTTAACTCCATTTTCATTCTGTTCAGATAGTTCACATCTACTAATTTTTGATAATAAAAATAAATTCCATATTTTATATACCTGCTCAAAGAACTAAAAAACAAATGGATCCGGCCCAAATAACAAATGAGACAAAAAAAATTATTGAAGGTCATGATGAAGGAGAGATTGCTAAAATGTTATTTTGTGATTGTGGTTAGCCATATCCTTCATAAACCATTAACAATAGTCAAGCTAAAATGTTCCGCCTGGATCATTCTTATCTGTTAACAATCACAATTGGTTCATTTATTATACCTACTAATTATTAATAATAAATAAACGCTTACTTTTATTCTTTACTCCAATTCCATTCCTCTTGCTGATTCGTATCTGCTGAGTTTTGATATAAATGAATGTCTTATTTTCATCCTTCTTAACTTCAATTTCATTTCGTCTAGATCGTTCATACCTGCCAATTTTGATAATAAAGATAATGCCATATTTACTATTAATACATCCAATTCCATTCGTAATAATAACCAAGTTAAAATGGTTCATTCGGATCATTCATTCATATTGGCTAATTATTAATAATAAATGAATGCGCTACTTTTTACTCTTAAATCCAAATCAATTCTGCTTTGATAATTCGCACCTGCTGATTTTCTCTATAATGAATGCCTTATTTTTATTATTCTTAACAACACTTCCATTCTGTTCAAATAATCCACATCTACCAATTTTTAATAACGAAAGATAAATGCATATTTACATCCTTCATAATCCAATTCCACAATGTTTCATCCAAATTATTCCCATCTGCTAATTTTTTACACCTTAATTCATTCTTACTCCAATTTCATCTTTTCCGATCACTCATGCCATTAATTTTAGATAATCAATAAATGCCTTATTTATATTAAAATTCGCTACTCACTTAAATGTGTTAAATTTAGTAATTTAAAGTTACAAAAATACTATTCAAACTATTTATAAGTTCATAGTTAGTATATATAACTGGCATGAATAAAAAAAAAAAATTAAAATAGTTAAAATATAACAAACCTTAAATTGTTAGAATTTACACGTTCATTAACTAAATTAATAATATTACAAGGATAAATCGAAGATTGATAAAGGGATTCCACTATGTTAATAATTATGAGATACTATTAATAATGTGAAGTTAGAATATTATAAATTACAATAAGTTCAACTAGAAAGACCTACCTTTGAATATGCCGTGTTTAATTAATTGCTATCATAATAAATTAAATTTTTCACTTGAAAAATTTTAAACTGATATATAATAACTAAAAGATTTCTAAAGCCTAATTAATGCATTAAACATTTAATCGATTGATAAAATATTTTTAGAGTACATCTTAGAATATTTATAGCAAAATAAATTCTATAAGGATTAAAACTATTTAATCGTAAATTTTTTGTTTTTTTCAAAAAAAGTAGGAACATTATTTCTATAAAAATATAAAGCACGTTGTTCAAGATCCATAATTTCCATAATTGCTGATTTTCTAACATCTTTAGATCCACCATTCTTAAAAGTTTTTTGAAAAAACTGGCATACATGCTGATGTTTTTTTTTTTCAACCCCAGAACAAGAGAATGCTGCCATTCCAAATTGGTGATGTTCATTTAAGAATTCTGGTACATGAAAAACTAAAACGTGAATGTATAGCGTAACATCTGCTGGTTGGTATAACCCTTTTTTAAAGGTATGTGTATTATATTGTCCAGTTGAAGGGGTTAAAAATAATTGCAACCATGTTTTAGCCTTTTGTTTAAAAATATCACCTGATACATTAGAGTTTTTAAGACTTTCATATAATTCATAGAAATTGCTCCATAAATTTCGAATTAAATTGGCTCTTTCTTCAGAAAAAATTGTTTCAAGATCAAAATTTTTCAATACAATAAGCTTGTCTTCACCCATAAGCGGAGTCAAATTCCAGTTTGAGTTTTCTTACCAGTAATGAAATTTAACTCCAATATTTTTTATTTCATCCATAATTTTTTTTCGTATATCATTATCAAATCTATTACTTGTCTTTAATTCAGCAATTAATAAATCCCACAATTTATCTGTAATACGTAGTATAATGTGAAGCTCATCAGCTACCTAATTCTTCATTGGAATCATTGAAAAAAGTAGTTTATTATTATATCCTGGAGTTGTAGCATAGTTATTAGCAATGTTTTCTATATTCTTTGAAATATACCAATCGCCATTTTCCAGATTTATATAGCCAATTGTATTTTTTTTGCAGTTACACCATAGACAAAAAGCATCACAATTAGCTGCTTTGTGGCCTAAACACATCGCCATAAATTTTCAATCAGCACTTAAATAAAGTTCTATATTCCATTTTCTTCCTTGATAATCTATAAACCTGGTTTTAATATCATTAAGATCTTTTATCAATAATTTTGTTGCTAATTTTAATGTTTTATAACTTTCAATACTCGGATAAAGTATTAAAGTATAATAATAATCGGGTTCATAATAATTTAAGGGTAGGGTGTACGTAGATCATTTTTCATATGATCTGCATAGTATATTGAATTTTTACATAGTAAATAAAAAAATGCTTCTAATAAATCTTTTTGACATCTCAGTTAATTTTTATCAAATTTAAATGGTATGTAGTATAAACTAGTTTGTTTATACTAGTGAAGTTTCGGGATATGTGTTGTTTTAAAAAAAATCAACTTCACATATAATTAAATTTTCCTAGGTCGCTATATGTTTTTCTTAGGTAGTACAAAAAATTGCTAATTCTGATTGGTCAAATCATATGATGTTTATATGTAAATTATATGATATCATATAAATTAGTTACACAAAGTTGATCTACAATCTATTTTATATGAAATTAGAAATTTGTACATCCTACCCTTAATGAATTGTTTAAAAGTGTAAATGTTACCATAACATGTTTAATTTTTCTTCCTACATTACGCCCATCACCAGAAAGTCGAATTCTTAAAACAGGGTCTTGAATACTTAAGCCTCCATTTTCTAACCATGCCGGTATTGTATAGTTAAGTATATCTTTTAGTGATCGATAGATTTCTTTTTCTATTTTATAATTTTCTTTTTCATAAAAACTTTCATTATCTATTAATTCTTCAAAATTAAATGTATAAACTTTAATTGCTTGAGACATTTCAGCTGTAATTTTAGCTCGCATTTCTGATATTAACCATTCTTTAGGTAAATGATGTTCAATTCCAGTTAATGATTATAGAGCTTCTCGTGTAATTTTATGGCGATCTATAGCATAAATTATTGATTTCGCTCAAAGCTCCTCTGTATATTTATCTAATATTCCATAATTAATAATATATTGTTTATTATTAACACTAAATAAAACTTGCTTTAATAAAACATTATCTTCTGAATTAAATAATTTTTTTGAATTTTGATCCGCAAAATCTTTAATCATATTTCCAAATTTTTGTCCACGTATTTTTTGAGATGAATTTGCTAATTGATTAAAAGGTTTTAAATTATGTTTTCTATGTTTATTTTCTCGAATCTTTTTAATATTTTGTAATTGTAATCCAAAAATTTCTATTCCATTAAATCGAGTAGAACTACATAATTTAATCAGATTTTTTAATTTAGCTATTTTGTTTAATATGTCTTTATACAAATTAGCTGCTTCACTGGTGGATTTTTTTGATTCAACAACTTGATCTTCAAATTCAATATGATATAAAGGCTTGTTATTTATATAATTAATTGAACATTTAATTATTTGTTGATTAGATCTCTTGCCGAAAATTGTTTTTACGATATATTTATCAGGTATTTTATATTTATTAGGAGGAAATGTATATACTAATATAGGTGATAAAGGATAATAACCTTCTTGTATAATTTCATAACTAAAACTATTTGTTTTAGTTTGAGCTTTTATAATAGGATTTTGTGGAAATGTATCAGTTTCTTGATATTGCGTCATAATTGTATAAAAAAACAAATTTCGTTAAAAAAATTATATATATATAATATTTATTTATAGTATTTATTTGTAATACAGTATATGTATAATAATATGTAGTATAATTATAGTCAAATGACTGACGTATATTTTTAAATATATAATATGTATAAAAATTTGATGATCAAAATCAGCTGATATATATAGTCCTTTTCAGTAAATTCTTCTACAGATACTATGAATGCAGCCACTGCTTTTAGAATAACAATATCCTTTACAGACTGTGGGCCATTTCTAAAAGAGAATGATGTAAGTAGACAGGTGGATAAGTCCATTTACGCGGAGAACCATGATAAAAACGGTCAAACTCAACGCACAGGACAGACTATGGCACTCTTTGTGACTGTGAGAACCAGGCTTAAAACGGCGAACGCCTCTGCAGAAGACTATTTGTCCAAATTATCATCAACATCTTTAGACTCCTATGACTTGGATGCATGCTACAACAAATATTTACTACATTATAAACTTCCTCTTCTTAAAGGACCTCAAACTCTTCAATCCTTTTACTTTCATCTCAATACCTATGCACTCCACCTTAAAAAATTCGCTGCTATTTCACTATCTAAAGACAGGAAAGAAGCACATGTTTATCTACCACAT